GACATTGGATAATTTGTAGACGAAGTATGAGGTGCAGAAAATTGGATTGGGACGCTGTTGTGAATTTCGCAGGCATGTGTTAGTCTTTCAACGCAGGTCCATGTTATGAGTCGCGATAGTTTACTCTTGAAGCTACAGCATGTCATGCATTATCTGTTCATGAAATGGCATGCACTGCATAAATGGAAAACTTCATAATGATGTATCACCTCCCTATTTTATTATCTTTATTTAAACGAAGAAATCCTTTTTCCTCCAACACTCGCTACCAACATTTGCTAGAAAATTATAAACCAATCTATGGTTAAGTAAACACGAGTGGGACAATCCTAGATGTAGAACACACCCCGAAACCACCAATGCATCCCGCTAAAAGCTCTGCGGTTTTTTTAAGACAGCGGGTTGTGGGCCTCTGGGCTCAAAAGTGGCAGCTCTGATACTCAGCTCCATGCCTATGCAAAGGGTAGGGAAACTCTGCTTTACGCTAGTCTGACCGGCAGGACGGGTGCTACAGTCAAAGCCAGCTGGTGTGCAAACAATGGCGGGTAGTGGCGTACGTCTTGCATAGCTGAAATGCGAAATTAAGTACGATTCCGTGGCCATTATCGCACCAGGCAGTTTGCCGATGTACATGCCTATGATATCGATTGTAGTGGCTCATTCGCATTACGCTGTTCATTGTTAACATTACGCGGAGGGGTGGAAGTGACTGTACACCACTAGTTATGTGTAGTGTTAATAGTAATGACCTTTGAGGAAGTAAGTTGTGTAACTGTATGTCTAGTGAGTTAGATCATGATTACGTTTTGTTCATCCGGCCGCCTTCATGCGTCCTTCTATGAGAGGCGTAGCCAGGGTTTCTCTTAGTAGGGGCCAAATCGGGTCACAGGGGCCCTTTTAGCCACGATGGTCTGCTCTTCGTCACTACAGGGGCCGTGTTTGTGTACTCGGAGAGCGTTTTTAGGCCCTGGATCCCATTTTGATGCCGCGGGGGTCTTTATATGTTTGAGAAATTCTTCGGATGTTTAAGACTGCTCCTGGTTTCTGTTAAATTTCCACTAGTCTTCGGCCCCGGAGTCATGTTCTGCAGTACAGGCATGTCAGTTGTCCGGCCCCTCCCCCGTCGCCGACCTGACCGTCCCCAGGCGGCGTCCGCCGGCCGGGCCGGCCTCATCGCTAAGTGCATTCCCGCCGTCGGTCAAGATATATGTCTGTAGCTGGCCGACGCCGGTCGACAGCGTAGGAGGGGCGGCGAGCGTCGGTGGCGTCGGTTCCCAGGCGACCCCGGAACAAAGAGCCGCCTGTGCGCGCGCCGGCGGCGACACCCGGCCGTGGGAATCGTCAGCATACCAGCGTTTTATTGCAAGCGCTCGCCGGCCGTTTAAAGAGGCCGACCGGCCGTCACTGGACCTGCTCTGGTGCGCGTCAGCGGCCGGCGTGCCGGGAGAGGAGCCCGCCTCGTAAACAGCGGCGTCGGGTTAGCCGAAGCGCCGCGGTCTCAGCGCTGAGCGCCGGCGAGGCAGCCGGCCGTGGCGCAACCGGCCGGTGTCATCGGGTGATTCAGGGCGGGGGATCACACGCGCCTGTGCTCTGCCGCTTGTTTATGTGTGTCCACCGGGGAGGAGCGGGTGAAAGTGAGGCGATAAACCTTCGGAGTCCATTAGTGAGCGGCCGCAAGATTAAGCCATCAAATCGCCGGAACACTTGCCGACGGCTGAACCGGGCGTCAGTTGTGCTTTCCTGCTGGCTCTGTCGGAGCGCCAGGCGAACAACGTCAGACATCCAGCGAACCGTGCGCGGCTACATCCCGTGCCTTAGGGGCTGTAGGGTGAGACCTTGGCCCCCAATATTAATCTTGGCTTATTTCACGCTTGGCCAAAACCGAAAAATTGGAAATACAGCACAATCTGTGTTTTTGAAAGCTATAGCATCTCTAAAGCAACAGATGTAAGGCATGAAGCTCTGCTTATACAACGTGCTTGATCCCATGGCTGCAAGCCACGCCAGGCCTTGCGGTCCGCTGTGTTCACTCACCGCCGCGGCTTGATATTGTGCACATTCCAGCCGGTGTGTTCAGGCCAGGTCAAGACCCCGGTCCGGCTAAGCGATCCAAAACTAGCACGCAAGGATAGAACTTTGCAAAAAAAAAACTGGGTTACAGAAGCCTGTGCATGGAAGGGAGAGGTGACCATGATTTCTCCTGGGCCCTCGCTTTTGCACTGGAGCTGCTTTTAGAGCTGGAGACATCAAGTATTGGAGAGCGTTGGACACCTCAGACTAATGCGTTTATCATTGAGGTTGTTGCTTGACGTTTTATGAAGGGGGGGGGGGAGGGGAGCAACATTGGACCTGCCCCAACCCTAACTATGTTGAGCAGGCGCCGGTTATACGAAGTTCTACTCACGCTAGCACGTGCGACCGGTCACCGATTCAGCTCTTAAAAAATGTCCAGTCAGTTTCCATAGGCATCCACCAAGAAGCTAAGTGACTACCAAGGTATTTTGCAGGGGCAAAGAAATCTGCGCGACGCACACCGCCCTTTTACTAGGATGTCACTGAAATGGACTTTTTACAAAGTCGAAAGCCGCAGCCCCTGTCGCATGTCCCTCCAATCTGACCGGTCACCATGACGGCTCCCCACCCCCCGCCGCGATGTCACCGGCTCGCTGTCGGCACGGGCCGGACCCGCTGCTTCCGCCGTCTAATCGGCGGGCGGCGGGAGGGGCGGGGCGGTGCCCGCGGCGACGCGCTGGCGGAAGTCTGCACACCGCAGCGGCGCGGGGGCGCCATGTCGCCGGTGTGGCGGCTGCTCCTTTCAGCGGGCGACGGCGCGTCACTAGGAGCCGGCCCCGTCCGATTGTGTCGGCCCGTCACTGTCGGCGGCCGCCGCTCGGCTTGTCGAGCCCAATTTGTCGGGTGTGCGCCGCCGCCACCGGCCGAATGAGAGGCCCGCCGGTGTTGACCGACCCGGCGTCGGCGGCCGGCGATAATCCGCCGCAGCGAGCCTTCCATCAGCGCGGCACAATCACCGTCGCGACATGTGACACCTCGCGCGGCCCCTCGCGTCGTGCCGCTCGCGCGGCAGGGCCGTCTCGGTGACGTCACTGTTTGCCGGACGCCTCTGTCCGACCGCTCGGTGGTGGCGTGGTATTATGCACCCGGCACCAACCGCAGCCCACGCAGCCCATGGTCTAGGCTCCAGCGGCGTGAGCTGCGCGACGTCAGAAATTTAGCCAAGCGCGACTTTTGTCTTGAAATTGTGAGGCACGTCGATACTTCTCATGACCTTGTCGCGCTGCGCTTTTCCACTTCCGGTGTCCATTCTCCGGTTTACGTGCTTACCTCTGCAAGCAGCATGACAATTGTCTCACTCGCTGTTTATTGTTCGCTCTCGTCTTCATGGTGACCAGCTTTCCCTTTTTCTTTCTCCATCTCTCACTCATTCACTCACTCACTCACTCACTCATTCTCTCTCTCTCACTCTCTGTCTGTCTGTCTGTCTGTCTGTCTGTCTGTCTGTCTGTCTGTCTGTCTGTCTGTCTGTCTGTCTGTCTGTCTGTCTGTCTGTCTGTCTGTCTGTCTGTCTGTCTGTCTGTCTGTCTGTCTGTCTGTCTGTCTGTCTGTCTGTCTGTCTGTCTCTCTCTCTCTCTCTCTCTCTCTCTCTCTCTCTCTCTCTCTCTCTCTCTCTCTCTCTCTCTCTCTCTCTCCTCTCTCTCTCTCTCTCTCTCTCTCTCTCTCTCTCTCCATCTCTCTCTCCCTCTCTCTTCCTCTCTCTTTCTATCTCTCTACCTCTCTCCCTAAAATCTCCACCAGCGAAATTAATGATATTATTTAGAGTGTGCGGTCAAGTGCTAAAAGTTACCTCGAACGTTCCGTACCGAGCGTTCCGTTTGTGCGCATGAATACGGCTCCGTGCATTTTTCTTCAATAAACGGCGAACCCTCCTCAGCTATGACGTAGGTGTGCGTTACACCTCTTGACATCAGTCTCTCTCGAGACTTCTCTGCGCGCCTCCCGCCCGAGCCGCATCCTCCCGGCCCGTTGAGCGCGTGTTTGTCCCCCGTTCGCCGTCGGCTCCACTCGCGCCGCCCAGCCACGTGCGTCCTGTCCAGCCGCCGCTGCCGACGACAGCTCGCCACAACACGGCTCGTAACGTCGGCGCCGACGCCCGTCGGGCCCGACGGACGGCGTCACCCGATATGGCTGTCGGGCCGGTGGTCACCGCCTCCGCGCGCCGGCCGGGGACACCGGCACAGCTCGCTCGGTCCAGAGTCGCTCCCGGCAGCGACACCACGCCACCACCAGGGCTCACGTCTCCATATATATTTACACTCGCGCAGCGGTCGAGGCCTGGCGAGGATTGCGGACGGTAGCGACTGCGACAAGAATCGATCTCCGAATCGTCTTCGTCTCGGCAAGAGATGGCGCTGCCGGCGGCATCGTGCCGGCCACACAATCTCCTGGAGAAATCAAAAGCTATCGCGCCACGTCAGCCTGTGCTGCGCTAGGCCACCAGTTTCCTGTCGAACACGCAAGCCTATAAAACTTGCGCCACGCACCGCTTCCGCTTCAAGCCAAGCGCATTGATCACTCTCTTTTCGTATAAGTCAGTTTACCACCAACTGCTAACGGCACCATAAACTCCGCAAACGGACACAAACAAACTCACAGGCAGAGCCGCCGCTCTTCGCGGGCAGTCAACAGCACATTAGCTCGAAAACAAACGCGTCGCCTACCGCTCACTACGGCGCGGCAACGGCCGCACAGCATGATCAGGAATGGCGGCTGGAAAAATATGGAATCTCTTACAAGGCGCTCCTCCCAACGCTCATAGGGCGTACGGCCTGAAGAGGTGGTGGTGCGGTCGTACTCGTGGCCGGCACAGGTCCACCGGTGACGTCGCAGGCACAGCCGGTGACGTCACAGGCGCACCCGGTGACGTCACAGGCGCAGCCGGCGGGCGTCAGCGGCAGCTGCAGCGGCGGCAGCGGGTGGCCCGGTGGCGGCGGCGGCGGCACCACCCCGACACACTGCAGCTGGTACATGTACGACTGCATGACCTGGCTCAGGTAGTGCATCTGGCTCTCGCTCTGCTGGCGCTTCTCCTTCATGCGCCGGTTCTGGAACCAGACCTTGACGGTGGCCTCGGCCAGCTGGAGGCGCTGGCTCAGCTGGCGGCGCTGTGGCGTGCTCAGGTAGCGGTTGGCGGCGTACTCGCGCTCCAGGGAGGCCATCTGGCCGGCCGAGAACACGGTGCGGGCCGGCCGGCGCGGCGCCGGGCTGCCGCCGGCCGCGCTGCCGCCCGAGTCGCTCTGGCTGCCCGAGTCGTCGGCCGAGACGCGTCGACTCAGCTCGGCCGCGTCGGCCGCCGACGGCGAGCCGGGCGGCGGCGACGGCGGCCCGCTGACGAGCGCGCACGAGCCTGGCGGGCACACAGCGTGACGTCACGTCTCGGTCCAGCCGGAAGGCAGACTTCGTACGGCAGCACTAAACAGCCGGCACCAGTTTGGCTTTGCAGCAGGGAAGGTGGAATAGGGGAAGGGAGAGAGCGAGGGAGGACAGATGGTGCAGCTGACCACCAAAGAAATGTGTGGCATTGACCGCATGAATATGAATACGTGGCATTGGCCTGAAGTAAATGAGTTCACTTAGGCCTTGATCCCCGACGTAGCATGGCTCATCCCCGTTGGTTTATGCCATCAAACATCTCATTTATTTCCATGTGAGGCACGGCACAACCGACTGCACTTTGCGTTCACAGCGAGTGGGCCGTAAAACATGAGGAAATGATTTGAAAGACACCGGAAAGCAAACCAAGATATCTTTCCTTGAATGGATGGCCATGACGACGTTTATCCAAATTCTTCATGCCTCTCGGAAAATAAAACGTACATGCTTCAGGCTTCCCGTAATCATCGTATCGCCCAGTCCTCAAGGTCAAGTTACGTTATTTATTTCACCTAAATGGGGACATGTACATATAGGCCCCTGGGGCGGGTTCCGGCCACTGCAGCATCCTGCGGATGACGAGGGCCAAAGCTCAGATCCCGGAAACCACACTCATCTCTGCCCAAATGCGTTTCCAATACATTTCTTTCTGCGCATAGTAACGTGCCTTGTATAAAGATACGACCCTGCGGCTCAATCGATGTGAACGGAAAATGTGGTTTGCTGCTGCGATGCTTGCACATGAAAACGAGCAGGTTGTGGAAGTGGCGTTCTTAAGCTATCACTGGCAAGTCCATGAATGGCCATACGCTCGCCTTCGAAGTAGCGTACACCCATGACGCAATGATTTTAACCGTTTTCAAACGAAACTGCTTTTATCATCAGCGTGCTTTTGCTCACAGAGACAACTGCATACCTGATCGCTGCACAAAATCGCTTCTTGCCACACAGTAGCATGCGTAGTAAGGACAACTGCTCTGAGCGGACGTCACATGGTGCTTCTTTCATCACGACCGAGCCAAACAAAGACGCGAGAGACGCACGCGTCTTCGCCGCATGCAGGACACGCAACTCACCTTCAGAGTTCATGCTGTCGCACATGGCCTCCATAGACTGCAGCGAGTTCTTGTTGCCGAACATGAGTGCGGTGAAGTCGCGCCAGCTTCCGTCGTGCCCCTCCTCACGTAATCAACTCCCCGACTGATAATGAGCCAATGAACGCTGTCCGAGGACCCACGGCCCCGCTCGCCCGGACCGGTCCCAGCAGCCAATCAGCGGCAGGCTCGCAGAGCCGCTGGACCAATCAGCGGACGGCAAATGGACGGGCGCGGGATGGAGAGCGAGGGATTATGATTTAGTGATTGCCCAACGTTTTCGCGCCTTCCCTGAACTACCTATCCGTGACGCAACTTTGCTTAGGTGGGTGGGGTAAGGAAAGGGAAATGCGGCTTAGCTTCGATGGGGATTCCCTTCATGTTGGTTGTAAAAACCAGGCATTCTGATTATGAATTGAAAGGTATAATACAATATTGTTGTAATGACCACCCGCCATACCATTCCTTTGTTCATTTCCACAACCGCTTCTTGCACCCTACATTGTTACCAGCTCTCATGGATGCGCGGAGTGCGCTGAATGAAGTTCATATACGGTGTCACTGAGCGTATAGTAGTCTTCAATGATGTTATGCAGATTCATGATCACTTTGCTCTGGAACGCCAATGCCAGCAAAAAACCAAAAAACAAAAAACAAATAAAAAACGGAACAATATTTTCGCGGAAAAGCCATGGCATGAAAGCTGGCTAAGCGTGGGGGATGGGTATGGCAAAATGCCCATGGGTCCTCACTAGGTATGTACGCCTTTTGTGTTGGACTCGGACTGAATACCAGGTGTCTTTGGATAGAAAGGGTGCACAAACCGACTCCGTAATAACTCATGCATCCCAGACGACATATTTGTATTCAGTTCGTTCATCAGTAAGATGAGTGAGATCGTGCATCGTGTAGGTCCTGGCTCCAGCACAGAACTCCGCATCGTATTTCTTCAACGCGTTTTGTTTGTTCAGATGTATGTCTGTGGCATGTGCCTTGATTCCAAGCGAGATTGTGGTAAAAATCTGCATATCTGGATCTTTTTTTATGTTCAGTCCAGACCACTCATGCGATACCCGCCCGGATACTGAAAGCGGCTCGAAAATTCTGTACAATCGCGTGATGGCGGAGCTCACATTAAGGATTCCAGGACCAGAACCAAGCTCAGGATGATACCTGCTTTGGATCCCGGAACCAGAGCCTCACAACCACGGCATGCCTAACTCAAACCCAGGCCCTGATACCGCTCAGCTGCTGCAGCCGTTCGCTCCCGTGTTCTGATAGTATTTAAAGGCATGTTCGACATTAATAAAAAATATTATATTTTCTGAGAGATAAAGGTGGGAGAGAGTTGAGTGAGTTGCATCACGTCCAAGCAGTATCAGGGTTAATTATTCCAAATCTATGCGACCGATGGCTGTCTTGTGCCCCTCAGCTGATGCAACGCAGCTCCCTCTACCTTTCAGTGATTTTCCGGCCCTATGCGGGGGCGCGTCTTGCGGTGAGCACGCCAAATCTTTGTGGTCCGTCTTTGGCCCTCTTAAACACTACTCCTGGTCAACTCGGGGGTACTTGCCGACGCAGGACTCCTGTTTGGCGCTGCGGTCCCTTGGCCAACAGTACCCTGTTTGGCGCTGCGGTCCCTTGGCCAACACAGGAGCTGCCTATGGTGTCAGTGACCCCCCGACCGTTGCAAATCACGAGCCCCGGCCTTGCTCCTGCTTGGGAAATGGGGCCCAGCGTTCAGGGCTCAGGGCTCCAGGGTCCCCAGGGCTCAAACCCACACGGATACGACTGTCTGGCCCCTTAGAGGCGCTTTATAATAGTGACAAAAGGCCTGAATAGCAGGGCCTTTATAGCAGAGCCTTAATAAAAGGTCCCTGATAGAGGTCCTCTCACTGACATTTCAGGTCACGGCACTACGGATGACGGGCCGGCCCGGATCCCATCGGGCCCTTTGTCTTTGGCTCCATGCGGCTCCTCGGGTCCCTCTCCAGGCCCCTCCAACACGGCGCCTGGCAAATCAGGGCTGGTTCCCGATACATGATCCCGTATCAGGCACTGCGGTCCCTGGCAGATACCCTTATTTTTTTAGGGACTCCGACCAATACAAAGCCCGGCCTTGCTCGTGCTTGGGGAACTGACCCCCATGGCTCAGCCCGACTGTTCGGTATTGGCGGCCCCTGGCCGAAATAGAGGCTCGCACTATCCCACGGGTCCCCAACTCTTGTCATACGATACCGAGTTATGCTATTCGCCTACGACAGATGTAAGTACGCCACTTGTTTACGAAGAGCGTGTACCGTCGTCCTGCGTACAACAGCGTATCAAATCACCTATCCTGAAGGAAGGGCAAATGAGTGTCCAGTGGACCGCTTCATGCCTAAGACAGGTCAAAAAGTCGATTTCCTACTGTGGTGCGGTGTAAAACAAGCTGATTCGGAAATCCGTACTTCAATAGACGTCCCATCCGTATAATGCACCAATAAATCGTGCCGGTGATCCATAAACGTGCAGCAGAGCAGTGAAGGGTGAAGCAGGGCACATACAAGTAATATCTCCCTCTTTTATGACTTTTGTCACATTGTATTGGATACGTAGCCTTCGAAGTTTCAGAATTTGTTTCTGCCTAAAATGCTGCGAACAAACTTTACCTCTTGTAAAGCAGTCGGCGAAATCCTGCTGATGACAGCTTTGGCGCATTACGGGCCATGGATCCGAGTTCCAAATTCTGACCAGTCTGTGCCCGGGCCGCATCTTATCACGTAAACTGTGGAGGCATATGCCTACACAATGGCCCAAAATGACTACCCGCCCGTGCAGTTTCGCCTCCCTACGGTAAACAATGTTGAAACGGACGAACATAGAGCTGGGTAGTTGAGTGGTCTTATTGGACAAGTAGCCCACGTATGCATCTAGTCGGCGACAAGCCATTCAAATCAATTTTCATATTTCTGCAGCGGAACATTGTACATGAAAAATAACTTTGGGGACACTAACAGTAAACATGCGCCTTCGGCATAGCAAAACTGCGCGCGTTCCTCGACATTGTGGCTGGGTGCTGGCGTGACCTAACAGATACGAATGCAGAAATCCTAGATACACAACAGGATGATTCTTTTCTTGCCGGAGGCGTAATGACCGAGTGGTTGGCGCCTTTGACTCCCACGTAAGGGGCGAGCGTTCTAACCCCGGCTGTGCCATGACACCTGGGTGCTATGCGTTTGCTGCAGTCGCTGGCGCTACATACAAGGGTCCGCAGGCGCGTGGGTTACGTTTGCCTTTTTTGGCAGCTCGCATTACACAGGCAAGAAAAGCTGCGTTTTCCCATGAGCTTTTATCTTGAATGCAAAATAATACACGTGCCAGCCGCGCAATAGATGTAAGATATATCGGTTTTTAATCTGTGGAACTCATATTGTTTAGGCATCCATCGAGTCACATTCTTGTGTTAGAATTCAATCGATTTTTGTACTCCTTCAATATACTTCAAACGTGCAGCACAAGATTTGATCATTTCCACTCAAAACGTTTTGCGTCTTCTCAGGACCTGGCCGTTTGTTTTACTTCGAGAGAGCACATCACGTTACAAGTTCACGAATTTAAATAGCTTCGCCGCTTTCTGCTTCTACCGCTAATGTTTCAAAATCCGCATCACGATGTCACTGGAGTGACATTACGATTTAGGCTTTTGTGGACATGTTATTGCTTTTGCGTTTTACCATTCATGGTGGGGTTCGATTCCGCGCGGTGCTCGCCCTTTCGGCCAGGGTGATAGACAGGCGTTGCCGTATGGTGTCAATAGTAGGGGCGGTGCAGAGGGGGGGGGGGGGGACAGAGGGGGCAGTTAGTCGCCTCTCTCTCCCTCCGGTCCGCCGGCCGGAGACAAGATTATGCTTTCCCTTTTGAAACGCGTGGGAGACCGCTTCTACCCGAACTGAAGGCACTGCTGCTCCTCGTAGATTACCAAAAATTCAGACCAAGGAGGCTCGCGTAACTGGAACCGAGAAGTAAATCGGGCCTTTCCTACATCAAGGGACTTCTTTTCTGGATCGTAATTCATAAGGCTACAATTATGAATGACGTCGCCATTCTCAACATCAGGCATCCTTCCTGACTCGGAAGCCTCCCGTTATGAGATGTGGTAGGCCCTTGACCGCTGGCTCCTATTCTGGGTTAGAGGACGCCATCTACATTCAGCAGGCTGCATCTCTGGAACAGACGGCCCCTCTCATGAATCAAAAGCCGCGGTGCCGGGTCAGGACGCCCCCGTTTTTTGGATAGCGAGGCCTTCTTTCTAGATGTGAGGCCTCTTTGTGAAGCGGAAGCATCTTGTCCCCCCCCCACCCCTTTGCACCAGGACGCTCTCTTCTGGAAAAGGCGGCCATGTCTTTTTATAGTAAAACAATTGGCTGGATGATCAGGCTACATTCTGGATTCTTAGGTGTCAAATGTTACTTACTTGGATATGACACATGTAATAACTTGATTGGGGTCACATGCAACGATGCCTCCTCCCCTCCATTACGACACCGTCCAGGAGGCCACCTTCCCCTCCATTACGACACCGTCCAGGAGGCAACCTTCCCCTCCATTACGACACCGTCCAGGAGGCAACCTTCCCCTCCATTACGACACCGTCCAGGAGGCAGCCTTCCCCTCCATTACGACACCGTCCAGGAGGCAACCTTCCCCTCCATTACGACACCGTCCAGGAGGCAACCTTCCCCTCCATTACGACACCGTCCAGGAGGTAGCCCTGTGAGGATGTCCCATGTTTTTCAGGACGTCCCGGGAAAACGCTGCTTCCCAATTCAGAATCCATGGCACTGGCCCTGCTTAGTAGCGTTGTAAAGCCCTTGTGACGCAACTATTCACTGTGAGGTCGGCGATGTACAGTTGCGTTGCACGCGAGTTGTAACTGCGCGCAAGTCGATTACTCTCTGGAAAAAGATGGGCGTGCGCCACGTTCATGCACAGCTACCTATGTCTAAGCCTCCGTGATCGGCAGAGGATAATTACCCGAGTAAAAAATAAGGATCTGAAAATGAGGTGGCCGAAATCCGGGGATATTTTGTGACTGTGGGCACCACGTTACCGAGGGTAAAGCGTGGCCCCTGCCGTGACAAGATCCTGGAACCGCCCCTGGGGTACGCCTTAGCAACTATGGAGCGTTTTTCTGTCGCTCGCACTGTAGCTTTGGCCATCCACATGGCTCCACCAGTGACCTGCACAAAACGAGGCCCATTGCAACGATAAGCTGGAATTTCAGTCATTCACAATGGTCTGAATGGAATCCGAAGTGTTTGCGCCTCATTTCACTGGTGCATTACGATAACTTTAGGGCTGTCCGGGGCAAATTACTTAAGAACGCTGGGTAGCCTGTTGGTATGTTGTGTGGTACAAAAGAGTAGAAAATATTAGATGGTGCACTACCAGGAAAAAATTGTAGGTGTGCATCTAGCATCTCAACCGTGGCATCAACTCATTTCCCCAATGTATTATGTGAATTACGAGCGGACAACGCCCTCCATCCTTAACCCCGATGCGGTCACCCGGATCGCTTCCAGGTTAAAGTTCTTTAAGTGTACCTTGAGCAAGCCCTCCCCGCTTAAACAAAACAACGTTCTTACGCTTAACATGCCATGTCTGGTTCATATATTCATGCTCCGCTGCTACAATAGCAAAGTAATACGACAACGTATGAACCTGCTGAATAATACCGCGAGGGGAACAAGCTCGCAATCAAGTTATCACAACGTACAAAAGGCGCCCCTCACACCAATCTCCGCTGCAGCGCACCACGCAACTGTAGTAGCCAAACTACCCTGACGCTTTCATACGCGCATCAGCGGCTACTTCAAGCCACCTGGCGCGCCCAAAAGAAACCAGAGATTCCTCGCCTCCACCGCTTGTTGACGCACGATTCGCTTTTTGTCGTCGAGGCAGGCTGCCAGTTCGCGCAGCACCTGCGGCTTGAGCGGCAGCAATACGTGCGGTTTGAGCCGGGCCAGCGCGCCCAGGCAGCGCAGCGCCCCGGCGCGCGTCTCCAGCCGCGGCGAGCGCGCCCCCGCCTCCAGCAGGCGCGGCACCAAGGTGTGCACGTGCGGCTCGAGCGCAGCCGGCGAGTCAGCAGCGGCGCGGCCCAGCACCTGCAGGCAGGTGGCGCCCAGCGGCGCATCGTCGGCTAGCTCAGCCAGCGCCGACACCAGCAGCGGCAACAGCTGAGCCAGCTGCGCCGACACCACCACAGCCGGCAGCTGCGCCAGCTGGTGGCCCAGCGCGCGCAGGTGGCGCCGCCGCGCGGCCGACACGCCCTCGCGGAAGCCGCGCGCCAGGCGCTCGCAGGTGACGGTGAAGAGCCACTGGCGGTGCAGCAGACGGACCACGCAGTGGTTCTCGGCCGTCAGCAGCTCGTCCTCGGCCAGCACGTCGTCAAAGGCGTCGGCGGCGGCGTCGGCGGCCGACTCCTCAGAGAGCCAGTCCACCAGACGGTCCACGAAGTAGGCCGCCTGGCCGTGGCCGCGCAGCACGAGACCCTTGGCGATGGCGCCCCACAGCGACACCAGCGGCCGGCGCGCGCCGGCGTCCGGCGGCTCACAGTTCTCGAACAGGAACTCCAGCTGGTTCGTGAGAGTCTTGAGAAGATGGTCCGTCTCGGTGGGCGCCTGCTTGTTCACGATGACGGCAAGGGTCTTGGCGGCGCGCGCCGCCGTCAGCGCGTGCGGCTTCCTCAGCGCCAGCTTGGTCAGCATCACGGCCAAGATGTCCTGCTGCGGCACGGCGACGGAGCGGCGCGCGGCCGCCAGCGCGGCCGCCAGCAGCGCCGCCAGCTGCGTGTGCTGCCAGGGCGCCTGGTGCATCAGCGGCTGCAGGCTCTGCCAGCGCTCGGCCAGCGCACCCAGCAGCGGCTGGCCGTCGCCCTGCAGGAAGAGGCTGACGGCCGCGTGCAGCAGCCGCTCCTGCTGCAGCGCGTCCAGCCGGCGAACAAGGGCGGCCAGCAACGCGCCGCCGGCCGTCACCGCCGCCGGCTGGTGGAGCACCACCTCGCTGGCCGCGTCCGGTGCCGGCCGCAGCGGGTCGAACACCACCTCACGCGCCGCCGCGCCGAACAGCTCCAGCACCTTCTCGGGCAGGCGGAGCTCGGTCAGCAGGTAGTCGGCGACGTCTGGCTGACCAGCAGCGCGCGCTACCACCTCCTGTACGGCGGCCAGCGTGCGCACGGTGGCCGCGACGTCCGCGCGACTGACGCGCACCAGCCGCACCAGCAGCAGCGGCACGGCCGCGCGCACAGCATCCACCTCCGCCACGCCGGCCGCCACCGCCGCCAGACGGCGCTCTGTCAGCGCCGCAGGCTCGGCCCCGTCGTCGCCGTTCAGCCGCTCCAACAGCGGGCGCACGAACTCCTGCACGACGGCGGCTGGGTGGTGGGCGGCGACGGCACCGACGCAGCCGAGCGCCGCCGCGCGCACGGCCGCGTCATCGGCCGTACTGAGCGTGGCCAGGTGCCCCGCCAGCGGCGGCGCCTCCGCCTCACCCACCAGCCACGGGCAGGCCTGGACGGCGGCCAGCGCGGCGGCCTGCAGCGGCGGCGGGCCGGCCGCCAGCTCGGCCAGCAGCACGGTGGCCAGCCGCGGCCGCAGCGGCCGCACGGGCGCCGACTGCTCGGCGGCGCCGTCGGCCAGCAGCACGGCCAGCGCCCGCAGCGTCTCGAGTCGCTCGGTTGCCGACTCGCCGCCCGCCTCCAGCTGTCGCAGCAGCGCCGGCACTGCTTCGCCCAGTACGGCGTCCGGTCGCCGGTGCAGAGGGCGGCCAGCAGCGGGCCGACGGCGGCCAGCAGTCGGTCGCCCCCCGCGCTGCGCTGCGTGGTGCAGACACTCGGCCACCAGCGGCCGCGTCCACTGCTCCAGCTGGGCCGGCACCGCGGCCGAGACGGCGGCCACCAGGCGGAGCGCCCCCGCCTGTACCTCCTGCTGACGCGCCGCCAGCGCCTCGCGCGCCAGCGCCAGCCGCAGCGGCACCAGGTGCGGCGTCAGCTCGGCGCCTGTGTAGGTGCGGCAGCAGAGCACCAGCAGGTCCGCCGCGTCCAGCTTGGCCTGCGTCAGATCCGAGTTAAGCTTCTCCAGCGCCAGTGGAACGCAGAACTCGGCGAACTGGCCGCTGCACGCCATCACGTCGGCCAGCGCGTCGGCCAGCATCTGGCGCGTCACGCCGTGCGCGCTCCCCTCTGGCGGCGTGAAGTCCACCGGAAAGTAGCAGGCCAGCATCTCGAACAGCTCTTCGGCCAGCGGCTCGAGGGGCACGGCCGCTACCAGCAGGCGCACGGCGGCGAACACGGTCAGCAAGTTGCGTGGGTCCTTCTCGCCCTCCATTGACTGCACGCAGCCCAGCACCAGGTCGGCGCCCAACACGCGCACGTCGTCCGCGCGCGCCTCCAGCACGTGGCGCAGCGCGGCGAACACGCAGCGCCGCTCGGCCAGCACCAGGCTCTGGGCGTGCACCTCCTTGTAGAGGCTCTGCACGAGCCGGCAGAGCGGTTCGGCCGGCAAGTGGCGCAGGCGCACCACGGCGCCGACGCCGGCCAGCGCCGCCGGCACCACGCTAAAATGGTCGCGCACCCGGTCGCAGAAGAAGGCAGCGATAAAGGTACACTCCTGCTCGTTGAGCCGGTCGGCCGGCAGACGGCGCAGCACGTCGGCCAGCAGCTGCACGCCGCCGGCACGAGTGGCCGGCTCAACGGCCACCAGGCGCGGCTCCAGCGCCTCCACCACAGCCAGCACTGTGAGCCGGCCGGCGACGATGCCGTCGACCGTCGTCTCGACAACCGTCCGCCGCCTCCAGGGAGGTCAGCAGCGCGCAGTCGGCCGGCTTGGCGTCGGCCGACAACGCGCCGCCGCCCACCCCCCGCGTCGCCACCTGCCTCCGAGCTCACGCTGTCTGCCATTCCACAGCTGGATTTGCTCACTGTGCTGTATTGCTGTTTTGCACCAGGGCCTGGAAGTGGGATATGCGGTCACATTGTGCCAGCCAAACTACAGGAGCCATCATTCAACAGTAAATGTAACATGAATCTCAACTGGTTATGAAAATATATTCTAACAGTGACAACTGCCAGGAGCATCATGATCTAGGATGCACTTCCCTTTGCTTTAATCAGCAATGGTTGACTTGGCCAAATGGATGACACATCCTAATGCTGGTCATAAGACTGAAAGTAATTTTGTCAGAAATTGGTCAGGAAAATGACTACCCTCCAAATATTTTGACTCTGCAATGCCACTGATATCAATGGGATACTTATCTTGTCATTGTTTCCAGACATGGGAAGGTCAAGCTATGAAGTTAGATGGAAAAAGCTTCTCACACAACTTGTCTTTCCCACCAATAATTAGCTGATTACCCTTAGCTTACATTGCACCTAAATAAGTTGTTTGTGATGCTTTATTGCAAGATCTGGACAAGTGGTGCAGACCTTTTGCTGTTCAAAGGATGGACTAGGCATTTAAAACACCATTTTAGTGGGAGGTTGTGGACCAGCCACATGTAGCATCACCTGGGATTTGGAATTTTGGAGTGCAGTTATCACAGATCTATATGAAAAAGATAGATGACAAACATGTCAAATTCTAGATCTAAAGACACATACATAAATCCCTCTACAATTTTGCTATTGATGTTGCACATACCAATGCACCTTCAAGACAGTCAGAAAAACACTAATCAAATAATTAACAACCACTGGACACCAACATAACATGCAGAAGGCACTGCACAATAAATCAGGTCATTCTATTATTATCATACATATGAATTTAGCCCAGGCTGTAACAATGTTATACCAGACATGTCCAGCATGTCTATGATGTTCCAGCAGCAAATTTAGCACATGCATGCAGTAAACTGAAGAGCCTCACTTAGGTGTCCTGTTGCTGCCAATTCCAGGAAATGGATGATCAATGGTTTAAGAAATCATGATGCTGCTTAGCTATTCCTTTCATGATCCAAAAATGAAAATTCTGCACAACTTGGTCAGGTGAGTTTAATATAGGTTCACCCCAGGTTTTCCCACTAAGTAAGCATTCTGCACAATTACAGGATTCAGTGCAAGCCATACTGGAAAAAGCTTAAAGCTCAATTGTACAGCTGCCTGATTAATCATTTGAGGTTTCTTTGTATTTATTAGTCGTCAATGGTTCTCTGAAATCCTTAGCAGGCTTGGTCCGCCAATGAACGCCTAACCAAACAGAACTTAAATCAACGATTTCCAGACCATGTAAAAAGCCCCAGCAGTAAAAAACAAACAAATTGCAGTAAGGTTTCTCCCAAGACTTTTACATAACATGCACCACCTACGCCCCGAACCACGAATAAAACCCACCTATACAACACCACGACCCTCTCCAAACGCCTTGATCCCGACAGAGTACACAGAACACCGCAAAATGTCGAGCAAACTGCATTTGTCACCATAGCGCCATATTGTACACAATTTTGATGGACTTTTTGTTTCCGCTGAAATATTTGGCAATTTGACGGTGCATATTTGACATAAGGCATGGTTTAGTGTCTGATGCAGTTTGAACCAGGTTTTAATGGTTTTGAAATTCAGAATTTTGCCATTTTCGTCTTGAATTTTGGTTTATTTCCGGAATATTGGCCGAAATATTACATTTTCCTCCTACACGTGTAACACTTGCGCATCATATGGTAGCAGCAAATGGCGCCAGTTTCTGCGACCTGCAGACATTTCTTTGTCCTGCCCGGCGTCCCCGCGCGTATTGGACGGCGCGACTTGTGACACAAACGTAAGGTGTCGGTGGCAGCTGGGTTCCGGTTATTTACATGCCATATTTTCATTAAAATTTACCTTGCAGACATATTTTGGTTCTGGGTGCAAGGTGGTATCAAACGTCAGTGCTAGTGCAGAACAGGGCAAGGTGACATTTAAAGTACTGCTTTTTACAGTTTCAAAAGTGAAAGATGGATTTCCTCGGCTTAGGTTTCGGAGATGTGAAGCGCATGAACAAAAGACAGGTAAGAAAGATTACGAGAGGTGTTTTCAGCTGCTATTTGTGCATAAACCTCTTAACATATGGGGCCTTGACTGTTGGATACCTTGGTGCCAGTCTTCAAAACATGGCAGATCTCAATGACATGTTTTGATTTTATTGTCTCTCATTGATTCAGTTGGCTGCATTCTTCTGAACTACAGGACTGTTGTCTTTATCACTGCCATGTTATTCTGTCCACCCCCGGATGCAGCTGCTTGTGCAACCATAAAGAAAGCCAGAGATCTACCAAAGTTGCTCGGGCACACAATTTGTACACCATTTGTTGTGTTTAAGGTAGAACATATAAATAATCTTAAAACAGGTAGATTCATGCTCCTACCTTCAAATTTTAATAGTTACGGTAGCAAGCTCCCGAGCGCCACACACACCCCACCACCTTGACTTTCCAGCGCCGTTTCTGCATTGCCATTGTGTAGTTACAATATTTCTGTGTATCAAGAACCATAAAGAATGCACTGGACCAAGGTAACAATAATGCAATGAAAATTCTTATCGTGTGTAGGTATGTTTATGAAACGGACGGGCCAGAATAGTCCAGAACATAGCATAAACTAAACTAGCCTAGCCTAACCCAACCTAACCTAACCTAACCTAACCTAACCTAACCTAACCTAGCCTAGCCTAGCCTAGCCTAGCCTAGGCTAGGCTCAGGCTAGGCTAGGCTAGGCTAGGCTAGCCTAACCTAACCTAACCTAACCTAACCTAACCTAACCTAACCTAACCTAACCTAACCTAACCTAACCTAACCTAACCTAACCTAATCCCCATCCTGTCCCCTTCAACCCAGTGTGCTATTGGCATCCATGTCCTATGCCATATATATGTACCATATTAAGAAGTTTTCTTTAGCCGCCATGTTCTCATTTTGCCTTTCATTCCCGCACAAAAACGTCATATTTTCCCACCATGTTGACCAATCTACAAACAATATTGAAGACTGCTTGGGTACACAAGGAACACATTTTGTCGAATTCTTGTTACCTTGGCCTCATACATTTTTATGGTTCTTGATGCGCAGTAATATTGTGATCACGCAGTAATGTTGCGATCACATGTAGAAATGGTGCCGGGGTCATGGTTGCTCTGTGTTTGCGCTCAGATGTTCGCTATCGTTGTTATTTAAGTTCCAAGGTAAGAGCTTAGATGACCTGTTTTACAATTAATTACAGTATGTTCTGCCTTAAAAACAACAATTGATGTACAATGCTCTTTCTTAACATGAGGTAGCAATTTATACCCTGACCCACAATTTTGTGCCAGTGGTTGCCCACACCCTTTACAGTTACTGTGGCTGGTTGAGCTGTTCAGCACAAGCAGCAAAGAACAATACAACCACTTGCCAGATGGGCCATTACCAGCTTGAGAGCCTCAAGACTGTGATATTACTCATATTGCAAAATGCTTGGTGCCTTTTTGAGTGTTTTAGATTTGGTAATTAAAAAAAAAACATTGCAAAACATTAAAAGGTAAATGCAGTGTGGTTCTGAACAATCTCAAGTGAGCACTAGAGATAACTGGTATGCAGTAAAGACAAAGTAGATTGTTTGGAAAATTTTGTAGATAACCCCCATGGTCATCAAGTGACCAGCCTCCTTTCCAGGCAGAATAGTTGGCTGCCTCATCTGGGGCTGGATCAGACCTGTCCCAAACCCATTGTTGACTGGCTGTCACCTTTTGCTAACTGGCTATGATGCCAGTCTGTCAATGTTGGCAGATGAGGTGTCTGGTTGTGACAAGGTTGAGGGCAGTCATATAATTTGGGCAGCTTTTTACTCTGGAGCAGGAATTCCCTACAATGAGCAATTCATGATTCCTCTGGTACATCATCCTGTAGTGCCACCAAGATTATTTAAAATGGATGATAGAGTATGTTTCAGGGTGGCAGGACCTGGCCAAAACTGCCCTGAATGAGGACCTTACTGCCCCATTTGGGAAAAGATTCATACTGCTCTAATCATCTTTGTGATGTCCATGTTATGTTTTGCAGATTGGTAAATTTACAGGTAGCTTACACTTACACATTTGTACCATGCACATGGTTTTCTGATGTGAGCATAACTGAGGTAAGGATGCAATAAGGTGTACTGGCTGTTGAAGGCCAGCTACAGTGGACCTGTAAGGATGGCAACATAGTCCCCACCAAAATGGCTCAGATTTTTGTTAACAGAACAGTGCTGTGATGATTTGCTTTCTATAGCACATGCAGAACTGAAAAGCTGCTGCATTCACACCATTTGAAAAACATGTTGGTCAAGATTTGATCTGAGCCTTATGAATAGATGGAGTTTTGGAATCAGAGCTCATGGTAAACAGGGTTTGTTGTGTGAGTCCCTGACCCATACTGTCTCATTGCACAATACCATGTCAGCACTAAAATTTGGTAGTTATTCACAAAAAGTTTGATGTGCTGCAATGGTTGGCATGGTCCATCCTGCCTTCTAATGTCACCTGACCTAAAGCATGACTGCTGCCATCAGCCAGAGGCCATATCTGTCAGGGGCAAATAGCCAGTGCATAGTGACTTGACACCCTGCTGTGGTTGGGTGGATCAGAAAGCATGACTGTTGAACCAACCGAGCTATGAGAGGGACAAACTTGCTGATACACAGACACTGTTGCTTTGGTTCATGGTACCATAATTCTATAACCGAAGTAATGATGTAATGCTGGCAAAATTGTTGATATTGTACTCTCATTTGGCATGTCAAGCAAAGGCCCTGCATATCCAGTGCAGCTCCAAGCAGCTCCAAGGGCAAACAGTTGGCAAAAATTGACATTGGTGCCTCAGGAAGAAATTATGACCTCTGTATGTAACAGATGCAGTGTATGGATCAGTATGTCTCCGTTCACAAGGTTCATCATATTGTGTAGC